CTAGGGGTCCCAGACTGCTAGAGGGCACAGGCCGGGCTGAGGGACCCCCCTTCCCCCCGAGTGCACAAATTTTTGTGCACCGGGCCTCTAGTCTAAATGTATAAAAGGCTAATATGCTAAGTGTCTGACTGTCCAACTGGTGCTATGATGTGCACTGACCACCAGGGGGCAGACGCTCAACACAGGAGCTGCTGTGATGTGCACTGGCACCGAGGACCTGGTGCCCACAAAGCAACACTTGGTTTCCCCCAAGTGGCACACAGGCCCTGCCCCCATCCTGGAGCGACAGCCCACCAAATCACAGCCAGTGCTGCCGAGACCCCATGGTGCAAAATGCGGCCCACAGCCCAACCCAGCCCGGAAATGGTCACAGTGGGCACTGGGTAATGATGTCACATAGCAACGCCTGGCTTCCTCTCCCTAGCGATGACTAGTCTCCGTGGAGTTTCTTCAGCCCAGGAACACGACGTGCTTTATAGCTAGGTGCAAGTAGGTGGATAGGAGACTCAGTGGAATCCTATTTTCTTTTCATTATCCAGAAAACAGAGACTTAGAAAGTTTAGAAACTTGACCCGACTGAAAAGAAGAAAGAAATGGTGGACCTTGAAAATGACTTCAGGTTTTCTCACTGCGCAGAATATAGTCAAACACTGCTACAGTTAAATATTTCACCCTGTGTTCTTCCTGTGTGATCTACAATAATAATCTGCTTCGTGTTGATATTTAGTGCTGTGTTGCTGACAATTACTTGAAAGAGAAGTTGGGGTGCTTCACTGGGCTGGAAAAGTTTAGCTAAATCAGAAAGCAGGTCTAATTAAGCAAGTGTAATATATATATAAAAGGCTAAGTTGACTCACGCATGCGTGATACATATAAAGCTCTAGCTGGTGCCAATCACGCATGTGTTTCCATCTGTCATTGCCAATTGTGAATTTGGTTGACACTTCTATTATAGAGAAAGGGCGAATGGCTATATTAAAATATTTCTTCTAATTAATTTCCTTTCAGTGTGCACGAATCTGTACCCAGGGCCACTAGTTTATTATAAGTATTAATAAATATTAAGAATGTATTAAATATTAACAGGACATATTTCTTCAGGTAGCATGTTGATTTGCATTAAAAAGACAGATTGGTTTAGCAAATGAGCCCTTGCTAACTGATTCCAGGATAAAGACAGTCTCTATTTTGTGCCTTTATACACTATCGAAGGTTCAACCTAAAATGGCAGAGGCATCAGGCCTTTGATATCCTTCCTCCAAAGTAGCAGCACTAGTTTCATCTAGTTTAGGAAAGGCCTTTAACTCCACAAAAATTGGAAACAATTTTAAAAGGCTTTATTTGAAAAGATAGGAAGTTAGTGCACCTTTTAACACCCTTGCATCAACTAACAAGCTTCTTTTAAGATGGTTGTTTTGTAGACTCAATGTTGCTTCTGTTTGCATATTCTTTCAAAAACTGGTTTACTAATTAAATCAATTTTCAAGTTAAAAGTTAATGATATCTCCTGACAGGTTTTTTCTCATCTATATTTCTTAATTTTTCATCAAGAAATAGAGCAACATTCCAAACCAAGATCAATAAAAACAGTCAATTTACTTGTCAGTAATATAAGACAATTTGAGGAATACTGATTAGGACAATATAATTATGAATCTCAATTCTCTATAAACTATACCATCAAAGAATCTGTATTTTTGTCTTTTATTAGTGGGAAGTGAGATTTAAATAAAATGCAATGCCATAAAAATGTATTTGAAAGTTTATATAAGCTTAACTTTAACAAATATAGATCTAATATCACAGATGTGTATTTGATATAAATTCTTAGGAACAATGTTTGGTCAGGCCTACTTTTAACATTACTTCCCTTTTGATGTGGTTTTTTGCAGCATTTGGACTTGCTTGCTATTTTCCATAGAAGATAACACTAAGCTTTTTTATTTCCCCCTGCATGTATGTTTGCTCATAATTGTTCTTAGTTTTTTTGCCAGTTATGCTCTTGGTTCACATGGTATTGCTGTACCAGAACTCTTACAAACACCATGGAAACTGTTCTCACTGTAATTGCTCTTTTCTACTACCCTTTGGAAGGTTCAAAGTCTATGAACAGGTGAGATATATTGCTGTTAATATACAAGATTCTAAAGCATGCTTTTGAAAAAATCTTAAATATCAATACATTGTAATGTCCAGTGGACCCCTAATGTTTATGAAGGTTATTAGACCCACAAATTTTCAATTGATAACATTTATTATAGCAGGAAACAGATATACTTAAACTGGTAATCAAGAGGAGGTTAATAAAAAGACCGTTTACAAAGGTGTAGACAATGTTTAGAAAAGTCAGTAAGGGGATACCATAGTGCACCAGAACTAGTCTCTGCAGGAAGTTTCTATTACCCCCTGACCCCAAGGAGCAAGGAGAGGAAATGTTACGGAGCTGAAACTTTGAGAGGGCCCCAACAGGAGACAGGCACAGCCAGCCTTTAGCCATTGCAAGGAGAGAGCTGGGAGAATAAAATACCATGACTTAACTCTTCTGTCCTCCAATTAGCCAAAGCCAATTAAAAAGCAAAGTAGCCCATTGATAGAGTCCATACAGGTCAGCCTCCCTGCACATGGAGTAGATGAAGCGTGGAGGAAAACAGGTCTAGAAAGGCAACTAGAAAATATATGGACCTAATTTGGGTATATGCATAGAAACTAGGGAAGCAAATGCCAGCCAAGGGAACAACGTGACCAAAAGCATAAAGCCGTAAAGGGGGGTCATTGTAGTCTGGGCAGCTTGTCCAGAGGAGCTAATGTGTGGTAGGATGTATGGGAGAAGAGCAGAGTAAGGGGTGAAGCTAAAAAGGGACTTTGCCCTTCTATTTTATTTTATTTTATTTTAATATATTTTATTGATTTTTTACAGAGAGGAAGGGAGAGAGAGATAGAGAGTTAGAAACATCGATGAGAGAGAAACATCCATCAGCTGCCTCCTGCACATCTCCTACTGGGGATGTGCCCGCAACCCAGGTACATGCCCTTCACCGGAATCGAACCTGGGACCTCTCAGTCCGCAAGCCGGCGCTCTATCCACTGAGCCAAACCGGTTTCGGCGACTTTGCCCTTCTCCAGAAGTGGAACTCTATTCTATAGGTTGTAGAAGCCCTTGGAGACTTTTGAGAAGCATGGCATAACCATATCTGATTTAGAAAGAATTCTCTTGTAGTAGCTAAATTATATTGAGGATATAATGAAAGGGAGAAAGCCAGAAATTGAGTCTGGTTAAGAAGCCAGTGTCCCTTCGCATATTAAAAGGTGGTTGCAAGGATGACATTAAGCAAGATCATTTCTGCATTAGACTCTTGACTGAAAGAATAGGCATTCAGTTAAATTATCTATATGATGAGAACTTTATCACAAGGCAAAAAGTGAAAATAAGGAAAATAGGCATCTTAGGCTTGTGGCCAGGCCTAGAAGAAAATTACAGAATATCTTAGCCACACAAATGAATTAGAAGGTTATGCAGAATGCAAGGTAGTTTTGAGGAATGGGCTGTTTTCTTATGCCTTTATAGCCCTCTTAGCCTATGAATCCCTGTTTTAGGGATCCATCATTTTGAGGCTTAGCCATTCTGTCTGCTTCTTTTCTCATTACCAACTGCCCCATTTCCTGTGTATCTCACATTCACTTTGAGAGACTCTGATTAGGTTTGTTAAATGTCATTGTCCCTATTTGGACATAGCTTTCACACTGGCCAGCCTTAGATTGGCTGCCTGATTCAGTCAGGAGAGTCATGGGGTATAAACGACTGCTATATAAGCATTCATTCCATGACAGGTACTATTCCTGGCTTGACATTAAATAAAATTTTTCAAATTCCTTTAAAAATGCAAATATTATAAGTGAAAGATTTAAGGATGGTATGAGAATATTTCAGCATTGATTTCTATTAAAGTGTATAGCATAGGACCTATTGCAAAGTAAGTGCTCAATAAGTATTAATGATAACAATGATGTTGTTATTAAGTAAAGGAATATTTCTGGGCAATAAAAAAAAACACAAGATGATGATGACTATGAAAAGATTCCAGGCAAATGACAGGACTTGATGTGAAATGATGGCAGTGGGAATGGGAGAGAAACAAAGTGGATGTAAAGATGAGAAGCTGCTATTTAAGGAGACTGAGAAATTGAGTGATACTATTAATTTACATACTAGACACTGATCTGTTTTAGGGAAGGTTATGAGGCTTATTTGAGACACTTTGATTTTGAAGGCCACTAAGCTATCTGTGTAGAAATATTCAGAAAGGAGTAAGAAGTCCTCGTCTGAAAATTTGGAGTAAGGTTAGGACTAGATTAAATTATCCATAATCTCCTTTCACTACTCATTGAAAGAAGTCCTAATAGTAAAAATCCACGTTTCTATCCATGATCATATAGGTTTTATAGCAGGCTTTTATCAGTTATATATTTTTCAGTTGGATAAAATTAGCAGTTTACTTTCAAAACAAAATCATATGGACTCAGAAACCCCTCATGCCTTGGCTGGTTTGGCTCAGTGGATAAAGCATCAGCCTGAGGACTGAAGGGTCCCAGGTTCAATTCCAGTCAAGGCGTGTACCTCGGTTGCAGGCTCAGTCCCCCGCCTGGTTGGGGTTGTGTGGGAGGCAACCAATCAATGTGTCTCTCTCAAATTGGTATTTCTTTCTCTATGTCTCTCTCCCTTCCCTTCCACTCTCTCTAGAAATCAATGGGAAAATACCCTCGGGTGAGGATTAACAAAAAAAGGAGCCCATCATAGCCTAAATAATCCTAATGCTTCTTTAAATGCATTTGATTTCTTTCTTAGAAAATGGTTTTGTGTGACTTTTATATCCTTATGAGAGATTTGATCATTTTTTCATCAGGAAAGCAACTGGCAGAGTTGTATGGCTAAAAGCTGTCAGCAACACAACCAACATTAAAACATAAAATAATTGCTTATTTCAAAATACTAGAATTGGGATATTAGAGCTGGAAAAGGCGTAGATTTTAACCTCTTTCTATGGATGAGAAAAATTAAGAGCCAGAAAGTATACGTAACTTTCCTAAGTTCATATAGCTGTTTATACCAAAAGGAAAATGCTCTCATTTAAAGAAAAAAGGTGATATCACAGAACTTCTAAACTCACTTCTAGTTGTCTTGACAATATATTTTCCTTGTTTACAGTGTCAAGTACTCATCCCTGGTGGCACTTGCCTTCATAATTCGCCCCACAGCAGTCATTCCATGGATACCTTTGCTCTTCAGACATTTCTGGCAAGCACAGAGAAAGCTTGATCTTATTCTACATCAGTTCTTACCTGTTGGGTAAGTATTGCTACAATCCATCTATTAATTTTAATAACCTGCAAATTATATATTGCAAATAAGATTTTATGTCTTTGAGTCAATTATGATATCTTCTAATGTCAATGAGAATTGTCAGACCAAGGAAACAGAATTATTTCCAAATTTATATTGTAATACTTATGATTCTGATTAACTATAAGTATTTTAATTTGCTTACATGAATAAGAATCTTTGCAATTTTTCTTAGAACTTTCCTGTACTTTATTTCCTAAATATTTCTCAGACACATTTTAGGAGATACTTGATTCTTTTACATTTGTACAGGGCTGTGTGATTTATAATGGCATTCTCATATTACCTCATGATTTTCAAAACTCTTAGATCTAGGCAAGTGTAGGTGTTTTTGTTTTGTGGAAGAAACACGGGGTTGGCAAATTAAAAATGCATTAACCAGCCCTAGCTGGTTTGGCTTAGTGGATAGAGCATCGGCCTAGGGACTGGAGTCCTGGGTTCAATTCCAGTCAAGGCTCAATCCCCAGCCCTGGTTGGGCGTGAGAGGGAGGCACCCAAGTGATGTTTCTCTCTCACTCCCCTTCCACTCTCTCTAAAACTCAATGGAAAAAAATATTCTCAGTGATAATTAACAACAAAAAGTTAGGATAGTAGTCAGCCTTTGGGATGGGGGTGGAGATTGACTGGTTGGAGGGATGAGGGGGCCTACTGATGCTCTGTATTTTGCTCTATGACAGTTGCACAGTCGTGTTCACATAGAGATGGCTCACAAAGCCTTATTCTCATAGTGTACTTTTCTGTATATACGTTCGTAAGTAGGCAGCCTCTGAGATTGCCCCCACTGATCCCATCCTCTGATATTAATGCTCTTGTATAACACTCTTGTCTTGAGCAGGAGGTAGACATTTTGACTTAATTCTAACAAACAGAAATGGCAGAAGGGTCTCCCTTCCACGATTGGGTTATAAATATTGACTGTGGCTTCCATCTTGGGTGCCTGTCTCACTCTCTCAGCTGGCTCATGCTGGGGGAAGCCACTTGAGGCAGTCTTAAGGAGGGGGGTCACATGTGGGAGCCTGAGCTCTGCCAACAACCATGTGAGTGAGCTTGGAAGCAAATCTCTCCATTACCCCCCATCAAGCCTTTAGATGAAATTATACCCCTAGCCAACACCTTGAGAGCCCTTGAGCCAGAAGCACCCCGCTAAGCTGTACCTGGCTGGATTCTTGACTCAAAGAAACTGTGAGATAATAAATGTTCATAGTTTTAAGTTGCCAAGTTTTGGGGTAACTTGTTATTCAGCAGTAGATCATGCAGTGTTTATTACTTTTTAAAACTTTGTTTAAATGCAGCTTATGTGATGAAAGATCTTTGAAAATGTATAAATCCATATTCAGTATGTGAAACTAAAGCATTTTTAAAGTGGTTTTTTTGGAAATGGCCTTGATATATGGCATTTGTGAAGCCATATGCCGATATGGATTTTCAGTGAGTTCAGAATATTAATCATCCCTTTTGTTTTTCAGATTTGTCACCTTGAGTTGGTCTCTGATAATTGATCGTATATTTTTTGGTCAAGTAAGTCAAATATATTTTTATTCTAACCATTTATTACACTAAAAGTTCAACCTGATTTTTTAATTCATGAATATTTGGGAACATTTAAATGATATGGGTTACATTAAAAAAAAAAAAAAGACTGCTAGCATATACCTTTGGTTCAATTTGTTATGCTTTCTATATAACAGAATTGTGTATTCCTAATTGAAGTTCAAGAGAGTCCAAGGTATTTTTGTCAGGTTTGTAGCAATAAAAGTTTGATTTATTAAAATTATTTTAGTTGTCTTCAAGGTAATCACTCAAAATTCAAATTAACCAGAATATTCTTCAAGCATTTGGTTTGACATTTTAATCTCACGACCGTAGGTTTTTTCTAAGTTCCCTGTTTTTAAGTCACTTACGGGCTCTGGAATTAGATTGCCACAGTTTGAAGCCTAGTGCCCTCACTAGCCTTGTGAACTTGGACAAGCAGTGTGAGTGAGCTTGGAAGCAAACCACCTTGCTTACTAGTTTCTTTATCTGGAAATAATTGTGGTACCTGTCTCATAACATTAGAAGATTAAATGAGATACTGCATGTATAATGCTTATAATGGGGCCTGGCACAAGTGAGCACCTAATGTTGGCTGTTGTTGCTGTTTATTTTCTGCTTTGTGCCGTAATTCCACTTGTAATATTTTCAAAGCTTTATCTTCCTAGGTAATATGTGATGTAAGGTACTAGAATAAAATTTTTAATGTGGGTGCCCCACATATACAGTCTGATAAAAAATTAATTTTATAAAGTATTTTTGTTGTTGTTAATCCTCACCCAAGGATATTTTTCCATTGATTATTAGAGTGGAAGGGAGGGGGAGAGACACACAGAGAGAAACATTGACGTGAGAGAGACATATAGATTGGTTGCCTTCTGCACTCGCCTGCCTTGGGCCTGGGATTGAACCCGCAACCCAGGCACTGCCCTTCAGTCCATGGGCCAACACTCTGTCCACTGGCCAAACTGGCTAGGGTGATAAAAATTATTTTTAAGTGTTCTCTTTAGCTTTAATTCTATGTAAAACTTACACTGTCAAAATTGGAATTTTTCATACTTTCTTGAATCTCAGAAACCTAGTATTTTACAAATGAACAAAGAACACACTAATAACATAAAAAAATGCTTTCATATGGTCATTAATAAAATTATTAGTGTAAACTATTGTTTGGTTTTTAGATCATTCCTGATTTAATGTCAAGATTCTTCCAGATACCCTAATGCCAAAGATTCAAACTTGGCACTAACACATTTCTGTTTCTCTTTCCTTCAACTATGCCAGTGGACTCTGGTTCAATATAATTTTTTGAAATTTAACGTGCTGCAGAATTTGGGGACATTTTATGGTTCTCATCCATGGCATTGGTACTTCAGTCAAGGATTTCCAGTTGTTTTGGGTACTCACCTACCCTTCTTTATTCATGGCTGCTTTCTAGCCCCAAAGAGGTACCGGATACTTTTGGTGACTGTACTTTGGACACTTCTGGTTTATAGGTAAGATTTTATTTATTAAAATAGTTAATTTTGATGATGTTACCAAGGAATTAAATTCTTCAAGAAGTAAACTGGTATCTTTTAGAGACGTATTAACTATTAGGGTTTGGTAATTGGGATTATTTAGCAGAAAAGGTAGTAATTATGTTGGACTCAGAAAGAATACTTCTGATATGTATAGTTTACTTAAGAATTATGTTCAACTTTTATGAAGCTGAACAAATTTCACTTGCTCTTAGAAATACTAAAATTTTAAATATTAAAGGACCAGAAAAATATTTTAAAATGAAAATGTATGCATCTTTCTTCCAAATTTGAGTGACTTGGATTGGTAATAGAAATCCCTTTCTTAGAATGTAATTGTACTTTAGACATTGACATCAAATGTTAGGATTACTTTTAACACATCATCACCTTATAAGTAAAATAAACAAGATTCCTGAAGCATGAAATTCAGTCTCAGTACTTAGAACAGGTCATGTTAATTATATTTCATTTTAAATACATAAGTTTCTCAAAGTATTGTGTAATATGAGAAAATATTTTAATTTTTTTTTATTATAGCATGTTGAGCCACAAAGAATTCAGGTTTATCTATCCAGTTTTACCATTCTGTATGGTGTTCTGTGGTAAGTATTTTTGTTCAATATAGAAAAAAATTACTTATATAGAAGTAGGTAAAAGACAATAAGCTCTCATTAAAGCTCATTAAACTATAAAATATTTTCAAAGAGGCTAAGAGAATTGCTTATTACAAAATAATTATATTTCTGCAGTATTCTTTCTGCAGCCTAAATATCCCTTTTTCTGTGTCCTGTAAAGTGAGATAAAATCTTAAGGACTCAATATCCAAGTCATAAAGATCCAATATCCTTCTGGTGGTGATATTCCTGGCTGTTTGAAATCTTTCACTAATATGTCTATTTTAGAATAGCTCTTTTAAGTTTATAGTTAAAACTACTAAGTTCTTTGTTTCATAAATTAAAATATATTTATAGCTGTTGAAACTAGTTTTTAATGCTTTTGATGCTTTAACACTCACTCTAATGCATATGTAATTTTAAAAGTGGTTCCCACTAATTTTTTTGGCCCTTTCTCCATTTTTTCCAGTAGGTTATTGGCAATATTTTTTTACATGTGACTTCTAAAGTTTTATATCATTCA